ATAAATACAAAAAAAAACATTTCAGCTATTTAGACATAGGCCATTTTGTGGAAGCAAGTTTCTTTGTATTTATTAAAGTTGATATATACTTAGAAGAATTCCAGATATGGATAACTTTACATAATTACATTGGTCTATCTTGAATGGAGCATAGACACAGTCCACTGTAAATTGCAGAGACAAAAATACACTGTGAGGAGCTGGGCAGGGCGCATGTCAGCTGGAGGCAGGAAACAGAAGTAAATAATTGATGGTAAAAAAAAACCTTTTTGCTGCTCCCCCTCAGCCGCCCCCAATACTTACCTATTTTGATACTTTACCTATTTTGATCTAGCACAGTGCACGGGAGCCTCAGCTGTCAATCACAGTCAGTGAGGAGCGAGCAGGGAGTGGGGCTGAGACAAGTTCTGTGTCTTATAAACACACCGAGCAGAGCTCGGGAGCAAGCATGCACGAGTGCCCCCAGAGCAAGCGGCTTGCTATGGGGACACTCAGCAGCGGGAAGGGGCCAACAGCGCTGGCACCCAAGAAAAGGAGCATCGATGTTGCTTTGTGCAAAACCATTGCAATTGTTTTCTGTGTGTCCTAGCGGTGACTGGTATTTTTACACTACAGTAAACTGCTGCTCACCGCACATGGTCTGAATTTGCCCCAAATGTGCAATGGTGTGCCGAAAAAACACAGCTCAATGGACAAGGTGTGAATATATCTTTATATCTGACAAAATAATGAACTGCTGATCTTTATGCAAACATTTATTTTCTAAGCTATCTCACTCTATACTAGCAAAGACTGTAATAGAGCTTTCTTAATTCAAAGGATAAGGTAACCTTCATAACATGTTACATGTGCCACCCGTATTTGGGCTGGAGCATGTAACATGTTCAGCTCCTGCCTCCTCTCCCACCCTCCCTGTGACAGCGGGTGGAGGATCTTCTCCCCGCACCTGCTGTCACAATTAAAAAACAGCACAACTGTGCGGGGCTCCGCCGACATGGCTGTGTCATTCTTTCACAGTGTTCTCTAAATAGATGAACTACAACTACCGTTGCCCACTGCGGCCGATGGCTTGTAGTTCTTAATGAACTTCAAGAGCAATGGTGAGCGCTCTCATGGTTCATTGATTCTTCCTGCAATTCAGTAACTGCCTACCCATACAAGGTATGGACAGACAGTGTCCTGAGAATCTGCAGGAGCCTGACATTGCACCCATGATCTTTTGATTACAGGTGCAATGGTTTACATTGTTTTTTCAGTGTAAAAAAAAAAATGCATTTTTTTTTTTATCTGCAAATAGATGTACATTTATTTATTTATTTATTTTATAAAAGATGAACTTAGCCTTTACTTATGGGCAGAGTTGCTATATCTGGTAAGGGAAATAAAGAACAGCTGGCAATTACATAATAGTTAGACTTATATTGGCCTTTATAGGTGTTAAACATGTATGAATTGGTATGAGCATAATGCCATCACAGCATATTGGCAACTATAATTGGGAGATGTCATATTGCTTGTCTCAGCAGGAAAAGAAAATCACTCCGTCCGGTATGTTCAATAAAGAATAAATAATCTCCCTCTACTGCTAGGCGTCACTAACATTAATCAGAACATCTCATAGAGGTAAATTATCCATATAAAATAAGCCTTAAAACACTTTAACGTAGTTCCCAAATCCCCAGTAGAGTAGCCGTCCAGTAAAATGTATGATTTGTGCCCAAGGCTCAGAGGAAAGGGCAGGATGTTCTGGCAGACGTGACCTCTGCTGCAAGGCATTTCATACTGAGCTAAGCTAATGATTGCACTGCTAACATGAGGTGATAACCTGGAGAACATATCTGTAAAAAGGGAAGGAAAATTAATTTTCTTAGTGAACGGTCAAAAAAATTACTTTTGGTTATTTAATGACAGATAGATAGATAGATAAATAAAGTTCAGCTGTTCTAGTAGGTCTTTCCTGACATTTTCGTAGTCGCATCCTACAGCAAAAGCCATGGTCTGCAGAGAGCTTCCAAAGCATCAGAGGGATCATTGTTAAAAGGTATCAGTCAGGAGAAGGGTACAAAAGAATTTCCAAGGCATTAGATATACCATGGAACACAGTGAAGACAGTCATCATCAAGTTGAGAAAATATGGTGCAACAGTGACATTACCAAGAACTGGACATCCCTCCAAAAGTGATGAAAAGTTGATAAAAAAAACTTGTCTGGGAGGCTGCCAAGAGGCTGACAGCAACATTAATGGAGCTGCAGGAATATACTGGTTGTGTGGTGTGACAACAATCTCCTGTATTCTTCATATGTTTGGGCTATGGGGTAGACTGGCAAGACAGAAGCCTTTTCTTAAGAAGTCCAGCTAAATTTTGCAAAAACACATCCAAAGTCTCCCAAAAGCATGTGGAAAAATGTGTTATGGTCTGGTGAAACCAAGGTTGAACTTTTTCGCCATAATTCCAAAAGATATGTTTGGCGCAAAAACAACACTGCACATCACCAAAAGAAAACCATACCCACAGTGAAGCATGGTGGTGGCAGCATCATGCTTTGTGGAATTATGAACAGTTCCAAATACCAGTCAATATTGGCACAAAAACTTCAGGCTTCTGCTAGAAAACTGAACATGAAGAGGAACTTCATCTTTCAGCATGACAACGACCCAAAGCATACATCCAAATCAACAAAGGAATGGCTTCACCAGAAGAAGATTAAAGTTTTGGAATGGCCCAGCCAGAGCCCAGACCTTTATCTGATCAAAGATCTGTGGGGTGATCTGAAGAGGCCTGTGCACAGAAGATGCCCTCGCAATCTGACAGATTTGGAGTGTTTTTGCAAGGAAGAGCGGGCAAATATTGCCAAGTCAAGATGTGCCATGCTAATAGACTCATATCCCAAAAGACTGAGTGCTGTAATAAAATCAAAAGGTGCTTCAACAAAGTATTAGTGTAAGGGTGTGCACACTTATGCAACCATATTATTTTAGTTTTTTATTTTTACTTCCCTCCACCTAAAAGATTTCAGTTTGTTGCTCAACTGAGTTGTACAGTTTATAGGTCACATTAAAGGTGGAAAAAGTTCTGAAATTATTTATCTTTGTCTTCTTTTTTTTACATCACAGAAACCTGACATTTTAATAGGGGTGTGTAGACTTTTTATATCCACTGTAGATAGATAGATATCTAGCTGACCTCTTCTGAAAATGCTTGTTACATGGCTGGCATGCAAATGTAAACCTCAAAACACTTTTTCAGCATGTTTGGGACCGTTTTTCACTTTCACTAATTTCTTATGCAGATTGTTTTAGTAATCCTATTGCAAAGTTTCTTACCTAGAGATTCAATAACTGCACTTACTGTTGCAGGCTGACAATGCTAAGCCACTGCCTCACAGTTAGCAGAGCAGCATTGTCAGCCTGTGGTAGGCACTCCTTCTATTGGCTATTGGGCCCCACATAGTGTCTGAGTCAACACTTCCCATACAAGCACAAAGATCTGTAGTTTTGACTTGAGAAAACTTCAAGGTCAGTGAGTCATAGAGTGTCATAGCCAGAGACAGCCATGCATTTTAGACAAGAGGTTAACAATCGCAGTCACCGTATTACCCTCAGGTGTACTTTACACAAAGCCTTTCCTAAAAGAAACATTGGGCCTTATATTGCTGACCTCTGTCTGAAAATGCTTGTTGCCTGGTTGTTATGCAGACCCACTGGTTTGAATACTTAGGAAGAGGAAATATTTGGTTACAGAATGTACTTTAATTTCCTATTATCAACATCAACATTAGCAATGCAAGCAATAGTTATCTTTGGCAATCCAATATAAGCTTTCTTGAAAAATATCTGTTTTTGTTGCCAGTGCTGCCTGTATGCTAGCCATCTCTTTCCACAACTTTGTGCGTTCCCTGCATGCTTTTTAGCTTTTGTTTTACTGTTTACTTTCCATTTCTAAGGACTATGTATCCCATGGTACTTTGCTGTCTACAAGCTGTGATTCCTGTACTGGCTTCTCCTCTCAGCACCTCTGTAGTTCAGAAGGCAGACTCTGTGAAATGTGTGGCTCAGCAATGTTTACCAACAGGGCATAGTGACTACGTGTCACAGAATTCAAGAATGTAAATGTGTGGGGAACATCACAAAGTAAGTTTACAAACTCCCTGATCGTTCAAATGAATAGGACTAGGCTAGAAATAATTGAAATTCAATGTGGAAATGAATATAAAGATTTAACATTTCGACCATAGATACACTTTAAAGTAAAGTAAGTGAGTCAGCCAGGAATTAAAATTTTCAGTCTAAGAAGTCAGCAGTGGCAGCATGCATGTTTCCTGCAGGAAACGTTTTCATTAAGGCCTGGTTCACACTATTGCAGCTGTGTGAGCCACGTTTTGCGCAGGCACAACAGCCTACTCATCTGAAGGGGCTGCCGTGCTCCTGAAAACCCAGGGAAAATGTCCCCACATCATTTTTTAAATCGCGGCCCGCACAGAAGCCACAAGTACAGTCCAATTCCCAGTGTGGTAAGCGACTGCTGTGATATCCAGCGCATGTGGGTGCCATTAGGATTAATGGCACACACATCTGCTGCGGTCTTCTGTGCAAGCGGTTGCGACTGCGGGAACAGGTGTTGACCTGCAGCGGGAACCATCCACACAAGTGTGAACCAAACTGTCAGTTGAGCTCCGGTTCACATATGTGCGAATTGGATGCATTTTGAACCGCATCCAGTTCGCATGACATGTGAACCAAGCCAGCTATCTATGGAGCTGGTTCACATACATGCAGACCGGCCGCAGAGTCAGGTATGAGTTACAGTCTGGTTCAGGAGCAATTTCAAGTGTCATGCACTTAAAATATTTGAATCACAACTAAATTGGTGATTGAAACCGGACCACACCATTGTTTGAAAAATCGCACTGAAACTAACCCCGCACATATTTGAATCCAGGTTAAAATTCTGAAAATGTTTTCTAATGGCATTCACATTAAGAACATATATCAGAATCAGGTCATTTGGGTATGCACCAGGGGCGGACTGACCATTTGGAAACCCGGGCACTGCCCGAGGGCCCCGGGGTCAGTAGGGGGCCCCATGAGATGCCCCTGGTACCTTTTTCATAGGCTTTTTTGAGTTTGGGCAAGGACACACAGGGGCCCCATGATCTCCTATTGCCCGGGGGCCCCATGAGTTGTCAGTCCGCCCCTGGTATGCACATTTAATAACAATAACATAACAGTGACATGACAGTGTATCACTGTTATCACAATAAAAATTTATTGTAAAATACATTTATTGAACAATAGATTTATGCACAATCCATAAATAAGCTGCAAACATAATGTGACTAAACACCTAAATAAGATAAAGAAATTAAGGAAATAACAGTATACACATTATTAGTGATCTAGTTTAATAACCCATTTATTACTTTCCATGGTAAAATACACAGATTTATTGGTGCATATAATGGAGTATGTTTAGTTCATGAGTAAATGTGTTACTGGTAATACACAGAACAGAATAATATGAGTAAATTACACTTAATTTATCAATAACATCTGTTATGCTTTCTGGAGAATAATGTGCCTGTAACATAAGGTTAAAAGGAGCATGTTAAATTGACTGCTGAATATCGTGTTTCCATAAAGCCAGTTGTGTTAGCAGAGGTGGCATGCATGTAAATGGAGGTTATTTAATGTGGCCCTGGATATTCTACTAATTAATATACAATATACAGTCTTGAACATTACACAAAAATTATTCACTCTTTCTTCCAGGAAGTAACTAAATTCGTTTACTTATGTCAATATTAAAATGGTCCATTAAAGGGTCAACTGCTGTAGAATAGGTTGTTTAAATGTAATTCAATTTACAACCATATGATTAAGTTAGATACATTTTGGTGAGCTTAAAAAATGTTATGTACTACCATATGCTGACTGCACTTCTAGTCTGATTAAAAACACAAACTGTCATAATTCATCCCCCAGAACTTCACAATATACAGCTGTGTTCAATCTGAATAAAATGACTAAAGGCCATATCATTATCTTCTTTCAGACCTGCTATTGTTAGTTGGATCTGAAGGCAATCAACATGTACAGTAAGTGGGAACAATGGAATCACAGCAGACATTTCTGGAAGGAAAAGTCAGCTGTCTATGTTGGATGTTCCCACTCAGGAGTTACTGGGCTTGTTAGATATTTGCAATGTGGGTGATTGCTGAGAGTAAATATATCCACGGTTATTCAATATGAATGTGCAAGTCTGTAACCAGTTCTTACAATAAAAACACTTAGCTGTCAGAATACCACTTAGTGCAGCCTTCCTCATCCAAGGATATGTGGAACCCTTTTGGTTTCTCAAGAGGTTGCTAGAAGCTTATTGGGAGTAGAGCAGTGGCAGATTGGTCTACTTCCCACATTGACCAACAAGGAAAGCAGTTACTTCTGCACTGACAATTAAAGTAAGGGATCACCAGTGTAAGAGGTCAGTACACTTTTCTCTGTCTGACTATTATTATTATTTTCTTATAATAAATGATTAACTTTGTTATTTATTTTTATTTGAAACTCTCTACAATCTACTGATCATGGGGCCATAAGTGTAATAATTTTTGTAAGGTTTCCTGAGACCTGAAAACTATTTTAAGGGTTCTTCAGTGTTAAAGAGGTTAGGAAAATCTGATATAGTATCTATATAATTATATTTATAGAAACAGCTAGAGGTGGGGACTGAGAGAAGCTAGTATACTTGGTTTAATCTTCACATGACATCGATGGTGGCTGGTGTGTCAAAAAACACAAACACTAAAGCTGGACAAGAACAGAAACTCATAACCACCGGTCAGTATTACGTTTATATAATGTTCGTAGATGCCTGACACAATTGGTTGAAGAAGCAGTTATAACAGTTCTGCTTAAAAAAAAAAAATATATATATATATATATATATATATAGTATATAAAAGCTTAAAGTGAAACTTTAGTCAGAAAATGAAATCCTGCAAGATCACTGCAGGCTGGCCCCTTTTGCAGGTATAGCTATGTAAAAAATAAAAAATAAGTGCCTATACTGTTTAAAATCTAGTAATACACTGTCTCGCTCTGCTCTGCACATGCTCAGTTGCTCTCTATTTTTCGGCACTATACCTATCTTGTTGAGACCGATCTGTTGGCAGCCTAAAGATTTAATGCTGCTCAGGACTTTGGGCTTCTACAAAATGTCAGTCTCCTGCAAGAAGAAACAGGAGCAATGCTGGAGGCAATTTACAGCAGACACTAATTTTGGTAGGATAAATATTTTTGTGAAATGTATGTTTCTTGCTAAAGAACATTATTTTTATCACAATTTTATGGTTAAAGGTCCACTTTAATACATTTAGGTAGTCCATAGCATTGAGATGACAGTTGAAAGAAGGATGGATCGGTTGTCATTCTCAAGTCTATAAAGTAGTCATGTAGGCAAACACCTGCTGCCTGCAGTCTCTTTGGGGGTAACATCAATCGGCCACGATGGATAATACAGGTATGTTCTGATCTCTGTTGTTCTCTTCCAAGGTAAATGCTGTCAGGAACATCCACATGTGTTACTCAGGTCCTTCAACCCTCCTTCTGTCTTTGCATTTACCTACAATGTTAGCAGTGCTTACATTGCCTGCTCATGGAACATCCTACAGGCATCATGAGACCGATTTTATTGGGAAAGGTTTTTTTGTGTTTCTTTGTACACACAACTTGCATGATAACAATTTATACTTCACAGAGTAAAGCATCAAAATATACAACCTATAGGAACCAATTACCAATCACTCTTTACTCTTCCAGATGCTTTATATTGATTAAATCAGAAAGTTCCACTGGATTCTGAAGTTTACATTATTGTTGTCTCTGTGCCCCTTTAAATGAGTCAGTTAGTGGCATTACTGCACTGTGAACAGTATAGCTGTTAGGGCCATTATATAATATATCAGTGCAATGGCCCAGTGATATGAATTTCATTTAGTAATGCACCCAGCAAAATACATACCCGCACTGCGGGCACGCATCATTGAAGAGGAATCACTATGACAACATCAAACTTACAAAATTTCCTAATTTTGACCCCTGGTATCCCCCCCCCCACATTCCCATTAAGTTGCAAGCACACCTCCACAACCTGGTGGATAATAACATTTGTATATATCACGTAGACAGCATCTGGGAGTTCCTGTACATGAATTTTTTTTTTTTTATTTCAGGGGTAATAGGTTTGTGCCGACACTTTAAAGTACCTACATTGGCAAACTACTGTTTGTTTAATGATGTTGCCATAGAGACAGGCACCCTTTAAAATACATTTGTCCAGGGTTTTACTAAATCGGTTCAACTTTATGATTATAGCTGCACTATCAATGCACACATTACTTTAAATGCTTTGCAAATTCAGTGCATGAGACCTTCACCCAACCTATGAGCGTAGAAGCACCTCTGGAGATTGACAAGGTTAATTAAATGCCTTTGAACTTAATACTGCTAGGAGGCACAATTTATATTCATATTCAACAGCATCTTATTTACATGTTTGACATTTTCCATATGGAGGAAATATACAAGCCATTTTATGACTCGATGGCTGTCCTATTCAGAGCCATTAAAAACAAAACAAAAAAATACATTTTTCCCGGTGCTGATTTTCCTTTTCATATCCTTGGGGGTCTTCGATGTTTATTAACAGCACACAGAGCAATTCAGGCAATGCTGATTTGAGCAAAATCACAGTTTAAAGCCTCCCACTAAAATATGGTCAGAAAGTAGTTTCCACATCCTATACTTACAAAAAAGCTAAAAAAGAAAAAGTAATATGGTATAATTTTGGGCTTTTTCTGAGCTATTAACCATGAAATCTAGATTCCCACCTGATCTCTGAGGACATACATAAATTTTTAGCATGATTCAACCCAGTCTCCTTGAAGCTAAACTCCAGGAAAGCATAAAAGGTTAATAAAATAAATAGCCCAGCATGTTGCAAAACATGTAACAAAAAACAGCTCTGGTTGCAATATTCCCCATTTCTCCAGCGCTGTCCCCCAAGAAATTCCACTCTGCCAACCAGCATCATTCAATCCACCTACTGGGGATGTGTCAGTACTTCACCTTGAGCTCACAGTACAACACTGTGAATAGAGATGTAAAAGTCATGACATCAGGGCAGGGTTGCCCAATAGGCAGTGTAGGCATGTGCCTACAGGCACCCTCTGTTTAAGGGGTGATCCTCTGTATAAGGGGAAAGAGATACAGACAGACAGAGATGTTTTCACTGCCAGCCTCTTTCAGTTAAGTGCTGGGGGAAGGGCAGGCTCGGGCTGAGAGGGAATCAGCGGGCACGTTGGAAGGTGGCATATGGCAGACATCACATCATCAGTGCAATGGGCAGAAGCAGCTGTCAGTGTGAAGTGAACACACAGGCACTGGAGTACACTGACTGAGGGATCCTCCATCTATCCTCCATTCATCAAGTCTGCAGGGAATTCTCAGAAAAGGTACAGTCAGTAAAAAAGATACACAGCAAAAAGTGTGTGCCTTGCCCCAATGCAGTGCCCTGGTTGTTGCCCTTGATGAATTAGCGCCCCTTCACACTAGCACCCCACAGTGCAAGGAGACCTCTGCGGACCCTGTTTTCTAAAAGGGAACTCTAATTTAAGAGGGAACACTGCAAACCATGATGTAAAGGAAAACGCTGCTAACTGTGATATTGGGGGGGGGGGGGGGGGGGGGTGACCAGAGACCACCTTACATCAGAGTTCCCCTTTACATTGGGGTCTGCAGAGGCACTGTAAGGGGGAACCCTTCAGATTCTGATGTACAGGAGTACTCTGAGGACTCTTATGTAAGGGTAACTCTGGGAAAACTTGTGTAAGGGGGGCTTCTGGTAACCAGAGACCCCCTTACATCAGAATTACCCCTTACATCACAGTCTGCAGTGTTCCCTTTTACATCAAAGTCCATAGCATTCCCTTTTACACATATAAAAATGTTTATAAAAAAAAAAATTTTAGCAAGAAAAAAAAAAAGCCGCTCTTGCTGTCTTTTTTTTTTGGGGGGGGGGGGGGGGGAGCAGAGCTTCAGAATTCACTGCCTATAGGCTCCTGTGATGTAAAACTGGCCCTAGGCAGCCTTCTGCAGGATTGAAGACTGCCCACCCTGCCAGAAGGAAAAGAAGAAGACCTGAGGA